TTTCACTGAACCGCCTCTCCCGCTCCGAGAGGTTGGCAGTACAGGCACGGAGCAAGATTGGCTTGCACTGCACAGCCCCAGGGCAGTGACGAACTCAGTCATCTTCCCAACACACAGAGGAGCTCCATAGAGCCCAGCTCCATGGGGATAGGGAGGAGGGGGAATGCCAGCACCCAAGGCACCCCACGCCCCAACACATTAAGCCTTGGTGAAAGCCTTTTCACTGAGACGTCAGGTTATGAAAAAGGAGTGTCTTTCTCTGTCCCATAATGCCTTTTAATTAAATGTGCTTTCAAATCTATGGGAAGTATGATGTAAAGGAGGGTGAATGCATCATGAGATTGACTGTATAAATAGTTAGTCATGTGCCTTCAACCAAAAAGTGGTGGTTTTTTAACAGGACTTGGGGATTTTTTGCTTTCTTGGAAGCTTAGCACACTGCACAGCCTCCCTAGGATCAGAGATGTAAATGCCCCTTAAAGGAGAGATTTCCATCTCTTTAGAAATTAGCCAAAATGTGGTCCTAGAAAAGAAATAATCAGATTTTTGAACAAGTAAATACTTGAACACAAGTAACCACAACACATGCAGCGTTTTTTCTGTTAAACAAGCAGACACAGGCTGTCTATCACCACCACACCTCAGTACACTACACTCTCTGTAGTCTAATAGGGGTTGTTCTAGGATGATCTGAAAGTTCATTAAAAAAGTGCCACAAAGCACATCAAAACCAGCACAACCTTTCCTCTTAGTAGCCAGAGAGACACTTCTGATGGCATTGCACAGACACCTGTAGTTCAGGACACTGCCATAACAGGGGCTTCTCAGGCTGCTCTGAAAGTCACCACCAAACCTGGCCAGTCAGATGGGGCAGCCACGGGGCAAAGCAGTGCCGGTTTTGAACTGCCCAAAACACAGTGGTTTCTGCCTAAGCCACTGAGCACTCCATGTCCAGAGCCACCCTCAGCCCTCTAAGGATGGGTGAGTGATACCACATCCACTAGTGGTGCCTGAAAACCTGCCCCAGCTCAGCTCCCACACACACTCTGCTTCCAATGGTTAAATTTCTGGGCACTGAAAGCTTTTCTGTCCCTGCTTCTGTCACAAAGAACTGTGTTCTGAAGATGAAACACACATCACAGAGTAGGCATGGACAGGTCTCAAAAAGAAGGGAAACTTTTGGATCAGTGAAATGAATAGATGATGCTGACCTCTGTTCACAAACAGTGAGCCCAACCACAGAGGAAAGGTAAATGGCAACCTTTAATTTGGGTTGCTTCAAACAAACTCCCGAAGAGCTGATTTTACAGAGTAGCTTCTATTGTGTAAGCAGAACTATCATTACTTTCAGTTCTAAATTACAGTGCTCAAGACTTCTGCAGCTCAGTGCAGTAAGATGATGCATTTTGGGACACTGGAGTTAAGCAAACTGGCCTTGGTGTTGGAGGGACGATGACTACCACAGCAGAGTGCTCAGAAAAGTCTTTCCTCTGGACAACATAACCTGTGCTTTCTGGGCAAAAATTAATTGTCTCAATGGAAATTTTCCAGGGAATAAATTAAGTCTGGCACCACAAATCCTGCACTGCTAATTTCAGCACTAAAGATGAGTGCATGGGAAGTTCAAAACTGCTGAAACAGTCTGCCAAGAGAACCAGTGGAGATGTGATTTGTTATTCTTGTCCCTGTAAAGTGACAACTGCTTATACAGTTATATTTCCCCTAAATCCTTATCCCTCTAGTTTCATAATTGAGTGGAGATTCAATGGTGCAACCCAAGAGGCTTTAGGCACCACCTCAGTGGTGACAAGTCACACATCCTAGCTGAGGCACAGCACTTGGGTTTCCTGCTCTCTTCTCCTGAATTAGAGAAGGGCTTTGATCATACGTGGCTTCCTTATCTCCCAGGCACACCAAAAGCTGCCTCACTCTGTGAGGTGACTACTTTATGAGAGATCATCCACATCCAGGTTTCTCTGTGCTTTGATACCTCCTGATTCCAGGGGTCCACTGTGCTGGCCACAGCACTTTTGCATATAGTAAAAGACAGCCTGTGCCATTCACAGATTTTAGTCTAGTAGGCAAAATACCACTTTGAGAGGAAGAATGTAGTATCAGCAGTTTGGAGATAGGGAAGAAAGGCAAAGCAAGATGGTGTGATTTCCTGAGGATCACCACAAGTGCAGACAAGCAGAGATGAGAACTGACCACGGGACTCAGGGGAAGGTACAAACCAAACATCCTCATTGTGGACCGTAAGAGCACTGAGGAAATAACCCATAAAGTGACACGTACGGATTAAATTCTCAATTATTTTTTTCTTTTCTGAAGAAAATGATAATTCTGTCCCAGAACATCCCATAACCCAGAAGTGGACATAAAAAAATGTTCCAAATGCCAGAAATGTGACTGTGGTGCTGCCTCTGGCAGTGTTACCAGGCTGGCCAGCACAATGCTCACCCACCACTTCTTCTGGCCTCCTTGGACACTTGCCAAAGCTCAGGAGCAAAATCCATTTCTGCCTTGGGTCTTTTGAAATAAGATTTTGTACTGAATGGCTCTTCCAGTACAGATTTGGCAAATCCCACCTTTCATCTCATTTGAGATGAAAAAACACAACAGCATTTTTTTCCTTTGACATACAACACTGTCCCACGAAAAAGAATTTCTGATTTCATGTCTTTCCTACACAGATCCTGCAGCTCCTCAGCTGCCAGTGCCTACAGAACAGTCACGGAGTGCTGCTACCACAGGCTTTATGCACAGTGCAGAAAACACACTGGCTTTTGGACCACATGATAAATGGCACAAGGGCTCAGCTGCCAACTGGTATTGGGAGAAACTGCTTCATGGTGTGGCCATGCTGTTGCAGAAGATATCTGCTGATGTGGCCAACATGCTGCCCACCCTTCTGGCAAATTTCTGAAGAAGTAGGAAGACTTGGAAGCAACACATCCTGTCTTTGTCAAGTAAACAATTCACAAAAGAGTTACTGAAGGGAAGTCACAGGGGTATGACTCACTCCTAATATAAAATCACTCAAAGTATTATGTTACATGGTACTGTAAGAGGTGGCAGTTGGATGTTGTTCCATCTTGCAACCCCAACTCACTTCTTGCTGTCGCAGGCAACACCTCCCCTCAGCTCCATCCTTGTAGGTTCCCTGGCACTTATCTTTCCTGCTGGAAGGTTTCGGGTCGTTCAAGCCCTTCAAACATTTTCAGGAGGTGAATGGTTGATGCCCTCTCCTCTGTGAACAAGACTTCTGCTCCCAGTGCTCCTTCCCCTCCCTCATCTTAACTCTCCTGCAATGGTGACAGCTCACTGCCTCCTCTCTTCAAATAGTGCCTCAAAACTTTAATCAGGAGCCTTGCCAGTGGCTTTCCCACAGCACCAGCTACCAGAAATGCAGGTTTCAGTTAAAGGGTTTGCTCTTTTCCTGAGAGGTTTTGGAGGAAAAGTGGGGGAAAAAAAAAAACCAACAAAAAAACAGGGTATCAAAAAATTCTAAGATAAGAGAAACTAAGCATTTTGCTTCTGTTTATCTTCAGATTTTATAGATGCTTCCACAGTATTTGAGGTCTCTGTCAAAATTTTCGAAAAGCTGAGACTAGCAATAGTAAACCATATTAAAAAAAAATTTAACGATTTTAAGTAAACACTTAAGTGTTCCCTGTTGTGGACCATGTTGTGAGATTTAACTTTGAAAAACCTGTACTACTTTTAAGATGCCTGGAGGAAGTGTTGCAAGATGTGGTAGGGAGAGGAATATGACACCAAGCTCCAATTTTACCCATTTCTGTGCTCGTCCAGGAATTTACAAAGGTCTTGGAAAAAAAAATGCCAGTTGTGGGAAAAAACCCTAATTCCTTCAAGTGTGACTCATAACTGTATAGATGGAGCTAAATGCTGGGAACAGCTTTCAAATTCCAGATCTAAAGCTGAGCCCTGAACTTGCATTTCACAGCAAGGGTGAGTAAGACCACTAGCTTTTGATGTCCACTAGGTTCACATTTTTAAAATGTTTGCAGACCAACTTAATTGTATGTGAAGCCCTTCTCCTAAATGGTCCTTGCAAATTGTTTCCATGAAAGGGAAGGACCCTTCTAAACATTCCCTTTACGTACAGCAAGTCTACACCCCTAGTAAGAGAAGTGAAGCAGGGACAGGTAGTCTCTGATCTGAGTGAGACCAGAGCAGCAGGTCAAGACAAGGGCTTTGAATGGATGAGGAAGCAAATCCTCAGCAATCAATCAGTGAATCCCAACAGGCCTTTGCAACCCCCATTTTTAAGGTTAGGTGGCTTTCTTCAAGTACTAAAGTCTTTAATCTGAGAAAGAGTCAGAGCGGCTGCAGGGCAGCCCTTCACACTCTGTGTTTTTGCAGATCTCTAATGCAACTCATCTTTTCTCAGCTTCTCTTTCCCCCTTTGTTTGCCAGATCAGGACCATCAGCAGAAACACACCTCACAGTACCTGATGAACTGGCCATTCATTTAAGCATCTACCTGGGCAGCAGCGCTGAAATTTAGGTATGTGTTTAAATACTTCTCTGAAAAGAGACTATGGAAAAGCTAGTGGAGGTGGAAATCAGGGGTTAATCTGTAAGAATTAATCTCGTTTGCAACAATTCTTCAAGAAAAAGCTGGAAAATCTCACAGTGCACAGTGAGGAACTAGAGACGGCTGAATACTTTTCCTTTTGGGCATGAGGGAAGCTTTGGACTGTGGAAACTGCAGCTGCCATCCTCCTTTTTTCAGTATTTGCTTTTCAGGAGAAGGGATAGTTACTCAGGACTTACTTTCCATGTATTTACAGCTCTTGCTGGATCATTATATCCACACAGCTCAGTTGGCAATGAGGTGAACAAAGCTTACTTCTTCTTCCATAAACCTGGAGTTTGTCCTTGGATAACCTACTGTTGAAAATAGATACAGCTCTGACAGAAGCTCTTACAGAACTTGGACCTTACACTGTCCTTTGTGGTGGAGCTTAAACTTCCTGATCTCTGTCTTGTGCTGTCAGCCCTTCCATCTCAATACTGTGGTAATTTGGAACCATTCCACTCTCCAGCTGAGCTGATACCAGCTGTGCAAAACAGGTGGGGGGATTGTTGTCAGTACAGAGAATATGGAGATGCATGCAGAGCAACAGCCTGATTTCAGACTCTTTCTAACCCTAGAGAATCAACAGCTTTTTCGTGTAACTGGTATTGAAATCTTTTCTGGAAATTTGACACTTTTATAATTCTTTTTATTCTCAACATACATACACCTTTTGATCTGCTGTTTCCCTTTACATGGAAAAGATGATAATTTGTAGCAGTTTAGTAGGCTATGAAGAAATATATCACAGGAACAAATATTGGTAATCTAGAACAATATTTACCAAAATTTATTATTCAGCCACCTGTCAGTGAGAGCAGGAATTTATCTCTCTATTGTTAAAATACTGCTCCATGAAGCCCACATTACAGTCTGAAGACTGATGAACATTTAATAGCAACATTCACACTGATTTCAAAACAATTCTTTTTGTTGCTCTGTATCTGCAATAAAAACCTGGCAAGGAATTGTCATCTCACCCCTCTGGTGATATTCTGTGTGGTCGGAAGACTTCAAAAGACCTGCAGTCACTCTGCTCCAGCCCTGCCACTCACAACGATATTTATATTCTCCCATACTTATATTCACTTTGTATTCATACATTAATATGTGTATTTTCTACCTTAACATCTCAATCCTGTGCCATAGAGCTGCTCTGTGCTATTCCTCCTTGTGCCAGAGTCACTGGAAGAACTGCTCTGTTTACTGATGAAGACACCAGAGACAGACCCAGAGAAGCCAGCTAACAGCAGGCTTCCCTTCCCTCTCCTGCAGATAATTGCCTAGACAGGAATCTAAGCTGGAAGTCAGACTGGGGCAAAGAACTGAAACCCCTGTGCTGTGGGCTTTTCCTGCCTCTGGATAAAGACCAGATCTTGTTTCTCTCCCACCTGGTGGACCTCAGTGCTGTACATGGGATGCTGTGATATTGCCTGGCAGTGGTAGCAGATACCCAGGAGACCACAGTGAAAATGCTCCCATCCTCCCTGGAAGGACCTGACCAATGTCCAGGAAAAAGAAGCCTTGCTTTGGTTCTCATCCCCCATTTGAGGTGTTCCACAAAGAGTGTGCTTACATGAAGCTGCTACGTCAGACAACAGAAGTACAAGACATTAGATGACACTTCAAAAAAACTCAGTCTTTGCTTATCCCCTCTCTTGGGTGGGATCCTACCTCCTACCTCCAAGATGGGACAACACCTGCACAGAATCAGTAGAGATGACAAGACCATTTTGACAAAGCACTGGAAAAAACTACCCTAGGGACCATACCTACATCAGATTTTGATCCAGAGCACTATGGATTTTGTTTATTCTGAATGTGAAAATGCCACCAGGTGCTTTAGGCTTCACCCACAGGGGGGACATCCAAACCCTTCTGGACTGGAGCTGGTCAAGTACAGATCTAAAACCTGACACAGAGCTGGCTTACTGACAAGAAAAGAGAGAACATCCAGGAATCAGGACATATACTGATAAGCGGTTTTATAAGCCAGCCTGCAGTATGGGCATGTATATAAGTAAAATGAATATATATACAAGGAAATATTTTCCTGGCTGCCAACGTGTTTATATGTATGTTTCTTAAATATGATTTTTATTTATGTGCTGAAATTCAGATGGCTGCACAATAGCCTTGACACTGAAAACACAAACCCAGTTATATACTAATATTATTTGGTGGGGAAATCCTCATAAACAGTTTATCTTTAAGCGTTTATAGTAGTTCTTCCATAAGTGAGGCAAGACTGAGGACATCAATCCAATTCAGTAACATCTCCTTCTTAGTCATCCAGTCTATTAATATGTGGGGGTTGAGGATACCATCCTGCCCTTAGCAATGATCATCTTAATCTTTGTCTTGACAGTTTATTCGGATAACTTTAATAGGAGCAGGAATTTAGGTACACCCCTGAGGACAAAGTCTTAACTAGTTTTTCACTAGTTGTTAGTCCTATTTGGATGAGTAAAGAAATGCAATAGAAATATGGTTCCATTTACTGTGATGATTTTTTCTGGAATCCTACTGAAGTACTGCAGCCCTGCATGCATCCCAAAATGGAGTTGTCCTGACTCTACCATCAACTTGGATAGTGCTATTAACAGGATCAGAGTAGGATCTTGTTAAGAGACCCAGGAGACATTCTAAAAATAGTGCTCAGAAAACCACAGATGGGGGAAAGGCACCGAACTGGAGATGTGTTTTCTTGGAGCTTTGTGTTCACATTCTATCCTCTCCAGAACAGAGGTGGCAGCCAAAGAGGGTCTCTGATCTCTTTTACCACAGTCAAAATTTTCTTCTTCTCTTCACTCAGCCAAAATTTTCTTCTTTAAAGATCCAGAAAACCCCTGCTGGATAAAGCCCCCTGGAGACAGTGCCAGGCAGCAGGTAGGCCCTCCTCCACCCCGGGGCTGCCAGGGAGCAGCACAGCACTGTGCCCAGGGCTGAGTCCACCTGAGTACAGGCTCAGCCAGCTTGGGCACAAACCCAAGCAAAGCCTGGGGCACCTCCAGTTTAAAGAGTGGCTCAGGTAGACTCCATCTCCCCACACTGCAGAAAGACTGCACAAAAAGAGTTTCAGGTGTCCACTTTGGGAATTTGACACCATATTTCTATTTAATTATTGCTTTAGTCCTGTTTTGCCTCTCTTTCGATGTTAACCCCTGTTAGCACAGGAGTACAAGCCAAACATTTTAAAAGACAGTATTTTCATGGCATTAGCTCAAGTATTCAGAGTTTAGGAAATATCAGAATGCAAACTGCTTTGCAAACACTAGTTGTAGCTCTAGTCATTTGTGTGCATGTGCACCCTGATATGCTATGGCACATTCTCAGGACACCATTTTCTGCACAGCAAATACATCCATTAGGGGTAGATCTGATCCTGTAAGAAAGGAAGGTTCTAGTCTGTCTGAGCTCTACTACATTTCCTACAGAAACTGGGACATACGTGGGGCACAGAACAACTGACTCCAAGCTCTTAGTAGACTCACAGATAGATAACTTAAGGATGGTTTGATCATTTTAGTTTTGTCCCTCCACAAAGAGCATATTTGTGTGTTGTTAAGCAAATAACAAGCCCAAAACCTTTTAGAAGTGGCTGCTAATTTTATGTTCCTCATTCTCTGACTTGAGATACTGGACCAATTTTTACAGCTACACAGATCCATAGCTGCAGGTTAGATGAAAAGGTTGTTTTGCACACTAACAAGAAAGTAAAAATGAAAGAACGCAATCATCCTTGCCCTGAAAGCCACAAGGTCCTGGAGCATGCAAACATAGGGCAAGAGTATGACCAGTTAATAAAAGCTTGCCTTGATTTCCACGCATAGGAACCAAGCCAAACCCGCAGAGACGGCTGTATTGCTGTTTCCCGCTTTGGGAATGCTCAGCTCATCAGTCTTTACAGTAATTGAACACAGATGCAATCTGAGGTATTTAACAGATTTTTACTTTGAATTTGATGTTTGGACAGTGGCCATTACTAATCTTAATTTTCAGTTCTTTTGGAGCATTTTTAGTATCAATATTAATTTGACATATTTCACAAAGATTCTTACACAGGGTGTAAGAAGATGTGCACGAGGACCTACTTACTTAGTATTTATAAACAAGAGAAGAATCATCTCTGATTTTTGACTCATACTGAGTGGGAAGGATATTTTCTTTTCCGGAGGAAATTAATAGGGTACTATTTAATTAGCATGGTCAAGAATTTCTCTCTGTGTGTATTTCTCTTGGACCACACACCTGTTATTCACTGTGACCTACCATAAGTCCACTAAGGAATGCTTTTTCACCAGCATCCTCATTCCCAGGTAGCCCCACATCCTGTCCAGTGTTTCCAGCTGTTGCATTTGGACTATTTTCAGGTCTGCACTATTAACTATGTTTAAGTCAGCCTCTTAAACGGAAAGAGCTCAAGGTTGTTTTATAATCTCAGCTCTAAATATAGACATTCATTCACAAAGTAAAGACCCATTCTTAGACCCTACTTTCTGCTAAACTCCTGATACTCAGGCACCTAAAATTAGACTAAATTTTAAGTCAAACTACTTAACACCATCCCCACATCCCACTCAAACCCGAAACCCCAATGTCACACCCAGACACTGATGACACCTCTCTAGATGCAAACTGGCAGCTGCCTGTTTCACTTGTAGTTTAAATGGAGTCTGTCCTATTGGCAGGGGCTTCCTCCAGCCCAAAAATACCACCAGTCCCTGATCAAGCAGAATCCTTCCTCCTCAAACCATTTGCAAATGTCAAAATTTCACCTCCCTTCTTCCCTGAACCAGTCCTACAAGGATCATTTCAAAGAACGCAAAAAAATCCATTATACTCTTTTCCACTAGAACAATCTGGGATTCATTGTTCTTTTTCCTTGATAAACACAGCCCAAAACAGTCTGAAGCAACTAATTGTGGATGCACTACTCTAACACAGGGTGACTGTAAACCACAGGCACGGCACTGCAGCACCAGAAGAGATAACTTTTGGATCATAACTGCCAACAACAACAGGGATGGGTTTTTGATCCCTGCAGGTTCTCATCTAGAGCAGACATGGTGCACAAACCAGGAAGAGTTACTCTTTTGGGATAGCATTTGCTTACAGCCCACCATTTGCATTCAAGTTAGCACAGGTATCCTTTCAAGTTGCCTACATTTCACTTACGTCAGAGTTCTTGTTCCAAGAAGAGATTTAGTGCTTAGGGCACACAGAAAAATTAGCAACTTCAGCAAGATACCCCCTGTGGTTCCCCTTTTGGATCTCGATGAGATCAGATTCACTACGTTCCTCCATTCACTATCATATGGCTTCTCTGAAACTACATGTGAGAATCAGACACCACCAAAACTTCACAAATGATCTGCTCCTTTGGCTTGTGAAAGCTTATGACCAAAATAGATAACAGCATAGAACAGCATAACAAGTGATTGTGAGACTCGCAGACGGTATCGAAAGAGAAAAACATTCTGCACTTCAAACACAGAAGCTTTCTATGTTTAAATATCAGGTCTTGGGTTTATTCAGCATAAAAACGTCTCAAATACTTCACACCCTGTAATGTAATGACTAAGACTTTGATTGCAGGACAGCACGTAAAAGAGTTGGAATTAAAAAACCAAACCAAACCAACAGAAATTGGAAATCACCTTGTATTTTTAAGCCTTTTCAGAGCATTCATTTGGTTTTATTTTAAAAAGGTTGGTGGCTCTGAAACAGTACCAAATGGACATGACCAAATTCCCTGTCTCACATTGCCTTTTATGGCTGAAATCCATCAAATACAAATTATTAACATTAAATTTCCAGTGTACTTACATAAGACTTTTAATTAGTTTTAGGCAGGGGATATTTGAAATAGTGGCAATTTATTATCCTAAAATGCCATTTTGGCCAGTAACAAAGTCATCGTCAAGGAGATGGTGGCAGATCTTGATAAAACAGTAATGTTTTTATCCATCCCGACAGCTGAGGCCTAGAGCTGGTCTCTGAACCAAGCAAAGAATTTGCACCAGGGAATGTTTTTTCCATTGTTGTCCCTTGTGTATCTCAAAGCTTTCTTCCCGGTACTGCTGGCCACAGAGAGATTACTTAACTAGGCATCGTCAGTCAGAGGGCAGAAAAAAATTCTCTTTGTCTGGTGAGACAAGTCTTATCAAGACAGAAGATTTATATTTAAAAAATACAGCCCTTTTAACTTGCAGAACCAGGTCCTCACCAACAGCCTCAGCAGAGTTGTCCTAACTTTTACAGGCTGACATCTGCTTCATCTAGAAAGGTTTCAGGGGAATGCAGCGAAACATCCTCCCCTGCAACTTGAAAGTGGCTGAAATATACTGGTTGTACCTTTGCACCTGGTTGCAGACATTTATATTTTTGCCCCATTTCCAGCCCAGCACCATTCCTGGCCTTCCATGCAAGGCAGGGTTCAGTGTGTTGCTCAGATAGAGACCTGCATGGAGCAAAGGAGACACACTTGCATAGGCATGTGCCTCAGTGACCTATCCAGTGGAGCTGGACTCATTTCTCATTCATTGTCATAAAACCTTCATTTAACACTCTCACACCTTCCTATTGCTGAAGTCCTCAGAGGTTTCCAGCTTGCTTTGCTCATTGGGATCAAGCTGATGCAGGAGCAGAAGCCAGCATGTGATTCAGGGTGCCCTAAGGCAGGATTAAGAGATACAAGGAAAGGGAGCAGCAGAAATAGCCTGTAGGAGAGAACAGATACCAGACTTGGGCATATCCTCAGATTGAAAATAGGGATGAGACTTTGTTCCCTGTTAAAGAAGGGAAAGCTTAGGCAGTTGTAACAGGATTTGCAAGGATCTTCCTAAGGACACACACAGCTCATTAGTATGCCAGGCTTTAGAAATTAAGGTTAAAGAAGTACCTATCCTCCAGAGTGAGTAGGAGTCTTTTACAGCTGCAACACAGTACGTAACAGAGACTGCAGAAGCATTTGTGCAGTTCAGGACAGTAACAGCAGCTCATATGGGGACCTTTTCACTGTCAAAGGGAGTCCAAACTCAACAACTTCTTAGGGCACTACTGTGGGCCTTGGGGTAGCAGGGTGAGCCTCAAGGGTGAGAGCTTCTGAGAGAAGGGATCAAGAGCTGTCCCCATGTTGGACAGAAATAGTTCCAGCCACCTCCAAAACAGACTCACCACTGGTTGAAGCTAAGCCTGCCAGCAGTGCTGGTGGTGCCTCCATTATAAAAAATTTAAGAATGAGTAAAAAACACTGTGCAGCAACTACGAGAGAGCAGTGAGGAAAATACGAGAGCCCTGAATGCAACGAGGTCAGTGAAGGAGGGAAGGAGGTTCTCCAGGTGCCAGAGGAGAGACTTCCTTGAAGTCCACGGTGAAGTGGGTGGTCTGCCCACAGTTCATGAAGGACCCCAAGCCAGAACATGTGGATGCACCATGAAGCAGCACACAGAGGACTGGCAGGACCTGCAGCCCACAGAGATGAGCCCACACGGGAGCAGGTTTTCTGGCAGGAATGTGTCCTGGGGGACACACACCCATGCTGAAGCAGTCTTTTCCTGAAGGGCTACACCCTGTGGAAGGGATCCATGCTGGAGAAGTTCATGAAGCATTGCATCCCACGGGAAGGACCCCATGGTGGAGAAGGGAGACAGTATGAGGAGGAAGGAGGGGCAGAGATAGGGTATTATGAACTGACTATAGCCCCTATTCCCCATTCCCCTGTAGGCCTTGACGAGGGGAGGGGGACAGAGAAGAGCGAAGAATAAAGTTGAGCCTGCCAAAAGGGGGGGTGAGAGGAAGATTTTTTAGATTTTATTTTTATTTCTCACTATGTTATTCTGTAATTAAGCGGAAATAAATGAAAGTAATGGTTCTGAGGTCATGTCTGTTTTGCATATGACAGTACTTGGCAAGTTATCTCCCAGTTCTTATCTTGACCCACGAGCTCCTTCATTTTATTTTCTCCCTATGTCCTGTTGAGGAGGGTGTTGGAGAGCACGGCAGTGTGCACCAGGCAGACAGCCAAGGTTAACCCACCAGAGTCAACAAAATGCATACAAATCCTTAATCAGAAAAGATGTGTTTTCCCTCGTCTGAACAATGAGATAATTCAGGTCACATGGAGATCACGCTCTCTCTGGGGGTTTTTTGTGTCCTTTTGGTATCTATGAGAGACTTCTCTTTGATTTCAGGGTATGGAAATGTCACACCCAAGGGGGATGAAAAAAGTAAGAAAATACATATTTTGAAGTTTTAGCAACATCTCAATAGAAGCACAGGGACGGGTTGGAATTTTCTGCTGCTGTTAATGCCTTCCTGCATCATCGTACAATTTGTTATGATTATTTGTATCCGGTGCCAACTATTTCGTAAAATGCAATT